GGCCACCAGGTATTTATTTTTATTCCCATAACAGCAGAAAACCAAGCAAACACAATAGTATAATAAAATGACACTTTTGCCACTTTTTTCTTTGCCCAGGCAGCAGGGAAAATTCTTAATAAGCTTCACTATATGTCTGGGCATTCAGCAAAAGCACTTCACACATGTAAAAATGTAACAAAGCTGAATCAACAAACCAGCCCAGCGCCTGCCTGAAGGAAACCATTGAGAAAATTCAGATAGCTGATAGGAAAAGCCTTGCCCTTAAAGGAATTATCCCCAAAAGAATAGAAATCACATAGTCACAGGATCTCTCTGCCTTGCCCTTGAAAGGATTATCTCCCCAAAATAAAAAAATGGACAAAAGAAGTACCTCTTAAGGCAGTCTTCAAATCTTTCTCCCAACTGGAACGAACCGAGAATTTCTTTTTCAACAGTATGCTGCAGTAAAAATATTCAAGTTTTTTTTCCCAGTCCTAATAAGGTGCTAACAAGTGAGGCTGATCTTTCCATGCTTTGCCTGAAACGATTGCTTAACTCGTTAGCACCTCATTAGGGCTGAAAAAAGATTCCAAAAAGCTATATTCAGAGCTTAAGACTCACCCAAATTTTCAGCCTCTTTTTTTTGGGGGGGGGGAATGGTGTCTTATATTTAGAAAAGTATGGTATATTAGGTGAATGTAGGGTGATGTTCACGAACCTATGACTTTGTTGGGATTGCACATTGCAGAATTCCCCCAGCATAGCCACTGGGAATTAGCAGCCTCACTATATTGCAAATTACCATCCCTCAGATGGTAATGAACATCATCTCAAAATACATTTATCAATGTCTATGAATTGCTGACCTTGTTATACTGTTTTAAAACAATGCTTCTGTTGCCACATGTTAATGTTAGTACCAAAACTGAAAAAAACACAATGTGGGCTGTAGTGTGAGTGGTTTATATTGAATGCTATGGGTGTAGGGTAGTTTAAAGTATGCCTTCAGCAGTGAATATATATATTTTTAATCATCTACTGTATGCAGCACTTCTAATTTGCACAGTGTTCTTATCAGGATGCACAGAATATATTAAGCTACTACTTACTAATGTGAAAAATTTTTAACATGAACATGCCGTCCCTTCCAAAACCTGTTTCTCTGTATGCACACATATACAAGAAGAATATCTAGAGCAGTCAAAAATATCTGGGGGAAAGGCAAGTGATTTAGCAATTTTATAATTCTCTTGTATACCAAAAGAGCAGTCAGGATGGATTTGCATAATTCTCCTAGTTTAAAAACTGTGAATTTATATCTCTTTAACTGAAAATAAGGCCCAATTTTGATTTTCATCTGGATTATAATCTGCACTGTTGTATCTCTGGGAAACGTTATTTAAAATTCAAGCCAGAATTTAATGTCAATTTGATGTAAATGCTTATGTTTTCCTACTTGGAACTCCTCTCAATGTTCCTAATTACCCTACCCCAGTTGCCACACAATTACTTCATTTATAATGTGTGTCCAGTTGTTTACAGTTTAGATAGTTATAAGAATATAAATTATTATTAATCTAACAACCTTTTAACATTATAAACAAAACACAACATACTATAATTTTAAATCAATAATAATACATAAACCTTCATTGCTGTATTCATTGATAGTATTAATTATTTTCTCTTTTATATTGTAGGTTATTTTCCCCAAAAAAACAAAAATGAAAAAAGACGTAATGAAATTGAAAATGATTCCAGTTATATAAACAAGCTATTTGCTTTGATATCTCCTTCTGGATATATTTCATTTAAAGAATCTATCCATGTGATGTAACATCGTTTTCCAAAAATGCCTTTTAAATTGAAAAATAATAATTATAAAGATGCAGAGCATTTCCAAAAAGCAAAGGAACGTTGAGTTTCTGCAGCATGCACTATTTGACAAATTCAAGTGATTGTCTTATCAAATAACCAACCCTTACTGTACATAAAAACTGTGCAATTGATTTTCTGAAATCCAGAACTAAAATGAAGGACATGTCAGTCAAAATTTACTTTTTACTTGGCCTAACTATCACTGCTCCAGTACAAGCTCTGGATAAGAAAACAGACTGCCCACAGTCATGTTCTTGTGAGATACGACCATGGTTTAATCCTAGGTCAATATACATGGAGGCATTAACAGTAGACTGCAATGATGTAGGCCTTTCTACTTTTCCACCTCAGTTGCCTGATAATACACAGGTACTACTTCTACAAGCAAATTCTATTAAAAAAATTGAATACCCTCAAGAATTTCCTGTAAACCTTACTGGTTTGGATTTATCCCAGAACAGTTTATCCACAGTGGCTACTATTGAACTTCAGAAGATAACTCAACTTCTTTCAGTATATTTGGAGGAAAACAAACTTATAGAATTGCCTGACAGATGTTTCTTTGGACTTAATAATCTCCAAGAGCTTTACATTAATCACAATTTACTTTCTACAATTGCATCAGGGGCTTTCACAGGCCTTGATAACCTTCTTAGGCTTCATCTCAATTCAAACAATCTGCAAATAATTAACAGCAAATGGTTTGAAGCAATTCCTAATCTGGAAGTTCTTATGATTGGAGAAAATCCAATAAGCAAAATTGAAGATATGAACTTTAAACCCCTTATAAATCTGAGGAGCCTGGTTTTAGCAGGCATAAATCTCAGAGAAATACCAGATAATGCCTTGGCTGGTCTTGACAATTTAGAAAGCATCTCTTTTTATGACAACAGATTAATTAAAGTGCCCCACAAAGCTCTTCAAAAGGCTACAAATCTTAAATTTTTGGATCTAAATAAAAACCCCATTAACAGAATACAAAGGGGGGATTTTAGCAACATGATACACCTGAAAGAATTGGGAATTAATAACATGCCTGAACTGATATCTATAGATAACCTTGCTGTTGAAAATTTGCCAGATTTGAGGAAAATAGAAGCAACCAATAATCCAAGATTATCATATATACACCCTAATGCATTTTATCACCTTCCACAGCTGGAATCACTCATGCTCAATAGCAATGCACTGAGTGCACTGTATCACAGTACAATTGAATCTTTGCCCAATCTCAAGGAAATTAGCATACATAGCAATCCAATGCATTGTGATTGTGTCATTCGATGGATTAATATGAATAAAACAAGCGTCAGATTCATGGAGCCAGAGTCACTATTTTGCGTAGATCCTCCTGAATTCCAAGGCCAGAATGTCAGGATGGTTCATTTCAGGGAGATGATGGAAATTTGTCTTCCACTGATAGCCCCAAAAAGTTTTCCTGTAAATTTAAATTTAGAAACCGGTAGCTATGTTTCTTTACATTGTCGAGCTACTGCTGTTCCAGAACCTGAAGTATATTGGATTACTCCGTCAGGACATAAGCTTTTACCCAATACTGTTTCTCTTAAATATTATGTACATTCAGAAGGAACATTAGAGATCAGTGATATAACACAAAAAGAAAGTGGCCTATACACATGTATAGCAACTAATTTAGTTGGTGCAGATTTAAAATCCATTGTCATTAATGTGGATGGTCCTTTTCTCCAGGAGAATCATAAATCTTTCTCTATAATAGTAAAAGATGTACGCTACAATTCCATATTAGTATCCTGGAAAACAAATTCTAAAATTGTGAAATCTAACATTAGGTGGACTGCCTTTCCAAAAGATGAAAACTCCTTGACCTCTCAGAGAGTTCGAATTCCATCATATCAAAAGGTTTATAATTTTACTCATCTCACCTCATCAATGGAATATAAAATTTGTATAGACATCCCCACTATCCAGCTTCAGAATGCAAGACGGTGCATCAATGTTACAACAAAAAAATTGAATCCGGCAATGAGAAATTTTGAGAAGAGCAGCATCAACAGCACTACAATTCTTTTCTGCCTTGGTTTTTTTTTAGGATTCGTTTGTGTTGCTACCCTCCTCGGTTGCATCTGTCATGAAATGAACTGTGATGAAGAAGGACACAGATTTTTCAGGAATTATGTGAAGAAACAATCTTTTTCTTTCAGTGAACTTTTTCCTCCTTTAATCAGTTATTGGGATGCTCATAAAGAGAAAAGCACAGCCCTTGAAGTGCAGGCCACAGTTGTAGAGGTTCCAACAAACATGTCATGAAAGTGAAGGTTTTTGGACTTGTTGCTTTACGGTGGCAGCATCAAGACTCTTTTCTATTGTGCTCAGTTAAAAGATGAAAAAAGGATTCCTTTATGGAAACTTAGTGATTACAAATGGTGGTTACAAATACAAATATTTACTAGTGTAGTATTTTTTTTACAAAGGTAACACCTGTCTTTGGAAGTTCTATACCAATTAAACTGTTTTCTAAGACTTTATATGTAATTTCTTAAGAAATTCTAAGAGGTACTTAATACTCTCTAAACAAATAGATAAGTTTTTTTCTGTATTTGTTGTTTTTTAATTAGGTGTACAATAGTGGAACTGAATAAGGCCATCCTCCTGTGTTGTATGATACACAGCCATTAGTTTTGCAAAAACAAATAAAACTAGTATAGTGTAATAAAATGAACAAATTCCGTAGAGTAGACACAGTAAATATGTGAAACTTTTTTATGATGAAAAATAGAACTTGATTACAATCAAAATAGCTTCAGTATTTTTCTTTCTAAAGACATTGTTCTGGAATATATGTATCTCCAATACATAATTTAATTCCTAATAGAGATATGTTTCTGAAGAAATACACATGTGATTTTTGAAAGCTTGTTTTAGATTGTGCAGTTGAAATGCAATCCTAAATATTCCTACATAAGTTTGGAAAAGTTGTATTGTCTGGTCAGCTGGACAAGGCAAATCAATTTTCACAAGATAACAAAAATAATAATGTCCTTGGAATGAGATTTAATTTATAATGTAAAAGGCATGCAGTAATTTATGAACTACTCTTTTCATGTACTTAAAATTATAATCAACTGCACAGCTTCCTAATTACATAGATATTTACCCAAAAATGAAATCACGGCATTCAGTTAGATTTGTTCTCAGCTGAAATGTTTAGAGAGCAATTTCACAGCCTGGTTGGTTGCATCATAAAGTTCTAATATATCCAAAACATTGCTGGCAGTCTACCAATATGTGGAAGAGGGTGGAAATTCTGTGTCTTTTGTTAAAGACAATAAGAAGGAAATGAATTTTAGGTTAGATGATCATTTCTCCAGTTCAGAATCAAATGAAACTGAATAAAGTCAGCAGTGAGAAAGAAGAAAAAGAGGTAAAAATGAAAACACATAAAGCTATAAAATGGATCAAGGTAGAACTTTAGGATGCTTTAGGAACCTTACATTCTTCCATTCTAGCAGCACCACATCCTACTTAGTGTGCTTCTAATGCCAAAAAGCACCAGCCATGAATATGAGTGGGAAAGGGACAGATTTTAAATTTAAGATCATCTTAATTTTAAGAAACAGACTCCTTAAAAAAGCAACAGCATTTGTTCAGCTTTCTGCAGAATCCTGAAAAGGGTAAGTCTAAATGCTCTTGCTAAGTCTGCTTCCCTGTGAACCACAGAGAAATTCTGTGCTTCAAATTCTGAAACACTTCCCCTATTCATTTCATAAATATGATCAATTGTACTATGTACATATACAGAGATTTTAGACTGGTGCTTAATCTTTATTTGGGAACTAAAATAATTGATATCCCTAGTTAAAAATGCTAAGCTTGCCAGATGGAGAACTGATAATCCGGGTTCGAGATCTGAGCTCCATGCAACAGGGTGAGCATGCTGACCACATGACCACAGAAATTGTTTTCGGACAATGCTGGCTCCCTCAGCCAAGAAACAGAGATGAGCATCGTGCCCTAGAGTTGGACACAATTGACAGGGAAACCTTTATCTTATATATATAGCATGTAAATTTTTTAAAAACACCTGTTGCTAAGGAACATTCTCTCTAAATATATTGCACTAAATGATATAATAAGACAAAAGGAACAAAACAGGCAACCTGTAAGATTATAAGATAAAAAAGAAAATTCTGATGACTAGCAAACATTCTGAAATGCTGGCACTGCATTTAAAGATAAATATTTTGCTGTCCAAATATATATACTTGATTAAAGTATTTGGAAACCATCTTCTAATACATTGCAGAGTTCAAGACAACTGAAACGACAAGAGGGTAACAGAATCAAGTGTACAAGAGTTAAAAAAAACAGATTCCCCCCCTTTAAAAAATAAGGTTAAAAGATTATACAGAAAATATGGAAATTAATGTTTCAATTTTCAAGACTAAATATTCCTCCAAATATAAAGTTGAGTTGTGTTTGTTTAAGGGAAAAAATCAATATCAGATTTAAGCATCAAATCACAACCATGAAGAGGTTAGCTGACTGTAATTCATACCAGCTACAATGGGAAAAGAGTGAAAAATTTTATATGGAACATTGGAACATTAAGATAAAAATGGGAGATATGCAGAGAGCAAGAAATAGGTCTCCAAGCATTCTGTCAAGGATTTAGAGCAAATATGCAGGAAGTCAATCACTTGTAAAATTGATTTTTAGTCCATTTTTTTATCAAAGATTGAAACAGACTATCTAGGAACTGACAGTCTATTTCCAAAAGCAGTGTTCACAGACAATTTGAAAATCAACAAAGATTGCGGAGAGAACTGTTGGGGATGCCAAGACCCAATAATCCCCCCTCGCCAGCTGGCCATCAAAATGCCTCCTGCCGACCAAATCCCCCCTTGGCTGGGCCTTCTACCCTGGCCGGGGGTGGGTGCAGTATCAGTGGATGCCAGCCCCAGTCCCACCAGTGGGACAAGCCCCACAGCCTGCACAGCCAACTTCCCTCCCCCATGGTTCAGAGTGATGTTTGATGGAACCCCGGAGAAGCTGGCCTATTTCCACACCTGGATTTGGAGACCAATATCAGACCGATCGAGACATAGTCTCGGTGATTTCAGACAACATGAATGAAGGAGATGCAGCAGATTGGATAGCCCAGCTACATGATGGAGCCCCAGAGCTAGAGGATGTTGATGAGTTTGTGCATCTACTCTGGCTCCGGTTTGAAGACATTGCACACCGGAAGGAGGCTGAAGCTCAGATCAAAGCCCAAAAACAAGTTGGCCACCCCCCAAAGGATTTTGTCTGGGAATTCCAGAGGCTGACCAGAAAACCGAGAGACTAGCCAAGCCCCTTCTTGTCTACTACTTCAAAGAGGCCCTGGATCAAGACCTCAGACAGACTTGTGGCATTAGGTGAGTTCCAGACCATATACAGGACAGGTACAATTTGGCTGTGGCAATGGATTTAGAGATCCACCCACATTGGACGCCTACCATCAGAGAAGCCAGCCAAGAGGACCCTAAGTCGCCGAGACCCTGAAAAGCCAGCTGAAGTGCTGCAACCAGCACCACCAATGACTATTAAGTGCTTCCAATGCAGCCAACATGGTCACTGAGCATCCAAGTGCCTGGCCCCAGCCCCAGTCCTTCAGCTCTAGACCCCATCAGCATCCTGGAGAAGGAAAATCCCAAGGAAGCCACCAGACAAGGGGAGAATCGCCTAACAAGCTTTTGAGGTTTCTCTCCTCCCAGCTGGGAGTGAGGAAACTCCATCTTTGGAGGTCCCTCCAGGTGCACTAGTAGGTGTAGAAGAGGACCCGATGGTAAGTGAAGCCATCCGCCCCTTCACCATCAAGGCCCAATAGAAGTGCCAGAATCTGGAGTCCCAAGGCCACATAGAGACCATCAAAGATACTGGATGCACCAGGTGCCTGATCAGCCTCCCCATTGTCCAGCAGTTAGGGAGAAGCACGAAACCTCTAGTGCACCCCATACACTTTGAGCAGGTCGATGGGACATTAATAGGTGGAGCCCCAGCCACATTAGTCACGGAACTCATTAGACTGGAAATGGGCCACCACCAGGAAGTTATTCGATTCATAGTTACCCCCCAAGATAACTGAATCAATCATACTGGGGCTGGACAAATTGGGGCCTGACCATCAGATAGGAAGATGGTTACCAGAAACAGAAAATAGGCATTCAGCCACTGCTGCCAATCCCACCAGACAAATGCCAACAGGTAACAAACACCCTGGCAGACCCAGTCAGCTGGAGAGTGCAGCCGCCGCCAGAGATGGGTTCCCCAGGTGCTCAAATAATACCAGAATTTGGCAGATGCCTTTAGCGAGCAAGACTGCAACTTCTGTCCCCCTCACCGACAGATTGTGAGATTGAGTTCGTACTGGGAGCCAAGCTGTCAAAGCCAAAAATGTACTCCATGACCCCTGAAGAAACAACCAAATTGAGAAAATACATCAATGCCAATAGCTAGGGATTTCATCCAACCCGCAAAATCCCACATGGCAGCCCCCATATTGTTCAAAGAAAAAAAAAGATTTGATTTCCGTGGAATTGATTGAAATCTGTGAAAAATAATTATTTCCGTGGAATTAACGCTGTGTGCATGGAGAACGCCTCCTCCCTTCCCCTAATGAAGGAGATGCTAAGCTACCTGGCGAAGGGTAAAGTGTTCACCAAGCTAGATCTAAGAGAAGCCTACTATTGGGTGCGGATTAGGGAGGGAGATGAATGAAAGACTGCATTCAACTGCCTGCTGGGCAGCTTCCAGTTTAAAGTCATGCCATTTGGGCTCCAGGAAGCCCCAGCAGTCTTCATGCAGCTAATTAATGAAGTGCTGCATGAGTACCTGTACAAGGGGATCCTAGTTTACCTGTACAACATCCTCATATTCAGTGAAACACTAGAAGAACACATCAAGTTAGTCTGGCAGGTGCTGAAGAAACTCCTAGCCACTAAGCTCTATGCAAAACTCTCGAAATGTGAGTTTCACAAGGCTTCCCTAGACTACCTAGGCTACCAAGTGTTAAGCGAGGGAATAGAGATGGACCCAGGGAAAGTGAAAGCAGTGCTAGACTGGCAACACCACACGCACGCAAACAACTCCAAAGATTCCTGTGATTTGCAAACCTTTACCAACAATTCATTCCACTGTTCGCAGAAGTGCCCCTGCTCCTATCAGAACTACTGAAGATGGGGGGGGGGGGCCCTCCCACAAAGCCATGCTCAGCTCAATTGCTGGCCTGGACACTGGATTGTCAAAAAGCGAGAAGTTGAGAAGTTAAAGCAACTCTTCGGTGAAGAGTCCTCCAGCACCCTGACCCTGAGACAATT